AAAAAAAAAAAAAAAAAAAAAAAAATCTAAATATTGGTCTTTTGAGGAGCGGCTGGCAAAAGATTTTCCCACTCTATGGTTTGTCTCTTCACTCTGTTGATGATTTCTTTTGCTCTGCAAAAGTTTTTTTTTTTAATGAGGTGAGATCCCAATTGTTGATTCTTTGTAATATTTCCGTGCAGTTGGGATTTTGGTCATAAAGTCTTTGCTTACACTTATGTTTTGGAGAGTTCTACCTATTCTCTCTTGCAGGAGATTTAGAGTTTCTGTTTTAATATTTAGATCTTTGATCCATTTGGATTTTGATTTAGTGCATGGTGAGAATGTGGGCCTAGTTTTAGTCTTTGGCCTGTGGAAAGCCAGTTTTTCCAGCACCAGTTATCAAAGAGGCTATCTTTCTTCCCGTGAAGGTGTTTGGTCCCTTTGTCAAAGATAAGGTGTCCACATATGTTTGGAATTGTTTCTTTTAATCTGTTCCATTGATACTCAGGTATGGGGTTTTTTTGCCAGTACCATGCTGTTTTTATCACAGTAACTTTGTAATATAATTTCAAGTCAAGAATTGTAACACACCCTGCCTTGTCGAGAACTGTTTTTTTGCTATTTTAGGTCTCTTCTGGTTTCAGATGAATTTTAGGGTAGTTTTCTCTAATTCCATAAGGTATGTTATTGATATTTTTAAATCAAGATTGCATTAAATCTGTGTAATAATTTTGAGTGTATGGCCATTTTCATTATGTTGGTTCTTCTTACCCAACAACAGGGGATAGCTTTCCATATTCTGGTATTTTCTTCAATCTCCTTTTTCAGAGTACTGTAGTTTTCAATGTAAATATCTCTAACTTTCTTTGTTAGGTTGATTCCTAAGGTTTTTTTGGTTTTGTTTTGTTTTTTGATGCTATTGTAAAAGGTGTTGTTTCCCTAATTTCTCTCTCAGTGAGTTTGCTGTTTGGGTACAGGAATGCTGTTGATTTTTGAGTGTTAATTTTGTATCTCACTACACTACTGAATTTGCTTATTAAATCTAGCAGTCTTTTGATGGAGTTTTTGGGGTCATCTATGTAAAGTATCATGTCATCTGCAAATAATGACAATTTAACTTCTTCCTTTCCTATCCTCATTTCTTTTATTTATTTCTCTTGTCTAAATGGTCTGGATAATGTTTTTAGAATTGTATTAAATAGGAGTGGTAATAGTGGACATCCTTGTCTTGTTCCTGATTTTACAGTGAAAGCTTTCAGTTTTTGTACTTTTACTATGATGCTGGCTATTGGTTTGTCATAGATAGCTTTTATCAGATTGATACAAAGACCATCTATTCCCATTTTCTGTAGGTTTTTTTTTTTAATCCTGAATGGGTGTTAGACATTGTCAAATGCATCTATTGAGATGATCATGTGATTTTTGTCCTTGGCTTTGTTGGGATAGGCTATAACATTTATTTATATGTTGAACCACCTGCATCACTGGAATGAAACCTCTTGATCATGGTGTATAATCTTCTTGTTACATTCTGTTTGCCAGTATTTTACTCAGGATTTTTGCATCTATGTTTATTAGAGAGATTGGCCTGTAGTTCTCTTTTTTGATTGGCTCCTTCTCTGGCTTTGGTATCAGGGTAATTCCTTGCTTCCAGGAATGAATTTGAGAGTATTGCTCGTCTTTCAATTTCATTTCAAGTTCTCAAAATATTGATGATCCTCTGGACTTCTGCTGGATTTGTTGGGATTTCACCTTTTTTCAAATTTCACCTAAATTTGCCTCATAAGCCTGTTTCCATTGTGTCCCATACATTCCAGTATGTTGTACTGCCATTAATATTTAATGGTAGAAACTGTCTAATTTCTTTAATTTCATCTGTGGTTCATTGGTTATTCAGAAAGGTGTTATGGACTTGAGCATTTTGATAAGGTTGGCTAAGGGTTTATCAGTTTTATTTAATCTTTCAGAGAACCAACTCTTCAATTTATTGATTCTTTGTATTGTTTTCTTAGTGTCAACTGCATTAATTTCTGCTCCAATCTTTATTATCTCCCTTGTATGAGCTTTGGGCTTGAATTGTTCTTTTTTTTTTTTCCTAGATGTGTAAGGTTTAAGATTAGGTTGTTTGTTGCTGTGCCTGGTGGTATATGCCTGCACAGCATTTTCTTATATTATCTTTCTATTTAGGGCTTGGATAGGCTAAAGGACGATATGCTTTTAAAAGCTGGGTATAATGGTGTACACCTGTAATCCCAGCACTTGGAAGGCTGAGAAAGGAGGATCATTGAAAGTTCAAGGCCAGCCTGGGCTACAAAGTGAGTTCAAGTCCAGTCTGAACTGTATAGTGAAACTCTGTCTAAAAAAAGACCAAAAAAAAAAGATTAGATTGTTTAAGCTCACTCTTTTCCTGATGGGAGAGCTCACTGCTATAAATTTGCTTCATAAGCCTACTTCCATTGTGTCCATACATTCCAGTATGTTGTACTGCCATTATCATTTAATTGTAAAAACTGTCTAATTTCTTTAATTTCATCTGTGATTCATTGGTTATTCAGAAAGGTGTTATTTAATTTCCATATGTTTATGGAGTTTTTATGGCTTCTGTTGCCATTGATTTCCAATTTTATTGCACTATGGTCTGATAATATGCATGGGACAATTTCAGTTCCTTTGTATTTACTTAAGCATATTCTACGAGCCAGTATATGGTCTGTTTTGGAGAACATCCCATGTGCAGCTGAGAAGAATGTATATTCTGATGTTGTGGGGTGGAATACTCTGTAGATATATACTAAATCCATTTGTTTATAAGTTTGGTTCAGTTCTGATATTTCTTTGATTTCTTCATTTGATCTGTATATTTGTGACAGTAGGGTATTAAGGTCCTCCATTACAATTGTGTGAGTACTTATTTGATTTTTCATATCTGTTAATATTTGTTTTATATACTTGGGTGTGTTTGATGCACATATATTTATGATTGCTATTTCTTCCTCTTAACATTTTTCCTTGACAAGTATGTAGGGACCTTCTTGGTCTCTTTTGATCTGTCTTGGCTTGAAGTTCACTTTGTTTGCAAATATAATAGCTACCCCTGCTTTTTTCTGGGTTCCTGTCCATGAAGTATTGTTTTCCATCCTTTGACTTTCAGTCTATGAATTTCTTTTTGAGTTAAGTGTGTTTCTTGTATGCAGCATACTGTTGGAACTCGTTTCTTAATTCATTCTGCCAGTCTGTTTCTTCTGATTGGTGAATTTGGACCATTTACATTGATGGGTATAACTGATATGTATTGGCTTATCCTTGTCATATTTTCCTGTTGTTGGTTCCCTTGTCTTTTCCCTCTGTGTAACTGCTTGCTTTGTCTTGTAGCTTCTATTGGTGGTCTTTGTTATCTTTCTCTAAAATGCCCTTTAGAACATTTTGTAGAACTGGTTTTGTGGCTGTGAATTTCTTCAGTTCTTTGTTATGGAAGTATCTTATTTCTTCATCGATTTTGACAGATAATTTTGCAGAGTACAGCAATCTGGGTTAGAAGTTATTTTCTTTCAGTACTTAAAATACTTCACTCCAAGCTCTCCATGATTTGAGGGTTTGTGTTAAAAATTCTACTGTGATTTTGGTGGGCTTTCCTTTATAGGTGTTTTGTTTCTTTTCTCTAAGAGCTTTTAATAATCTGTTCTTGTGCTGAATTTCTGGAATCTTGAATATTATATTCCTTGGTATAGATTTATTTTAGTCATAGCTAATTGGAGTTATATCTGCCTTACTTATGTCTATGTCAAATTCTTTTTCAATGATTGGGAAGTTTTCTGCCATGACTTCTGTCAATAGGTTTTTTTATGTCATTTGTCCTGTCTCCTGTTTTCTCATTGACCCCTATCAATCTTAAGTTGTTCTTCTTTACATTATCTTGCAGCTGTTGGATTGATTTTTCATGAGTTTTGCTATTTTGAAGAAACCTTTCTTTTTGAAATTGCTAACTGCAGTCCTATCTCCTAGATCTGATATTCTGTTCTCACTTTGGCTGCATATACTTTCAATGAAATTTTTAATCTCCTGGATGTCTGTTTCTTTTTTTTGAGTTTTTTTTTCCAGTACCAGGAATGGAATTCATGACCTTGCGCTTGCCAGGCAGGCGCTGTGCTCCTGAGCTAAATCCCCAGCCCTGGATGTCTGTTTCATGTATCCTATTTCTTTCCTATGTTGGGCACACATGGTTTCTATTATTTTTTTCTAAGCTTCTCTATTTTTAAAAATCTGTAACTATGCTAAAGTCACTGAGCAAGTCCTTCATTTTGACCACTACCTCTTTTTTTTACCTGAGAGATTATTTTTGATCTGATTTTCTGTATGTCCTTATTCACCTGCTTTTTTTTTTTTATTTTGCTGCAACTATTCCAGAAAATTCAGGTAGGTGGCTTCTTATTTCCTCTGTCTCATTTTCCCCTGCACTTAACCTGGTTTTGCTGGTGGTCTCAGGTTGCATTTTGCTTCTGTGTCTTACCATTTTCTATTTTTAAAATTTAAAATTTTTATCTGTATTGATGCTTCTAAATTGCTTATTCAACCATAAGCAATGCTTTATCACTAGTATGTATGCTTCCCTGGGAATGTCTATTCCTCAGCGATGTCTTCTAGGTATAGGTGGTTCTTGGGCTTTGTATGTTTCCCAAGATCCTATCTTCCTGATTTATTAGGGAAGAGAAGTTGCTCTCTATTTGGCTCAGCACCTAGTCCATTGATACTGGACTGTGGTGATGATTAAGACCCTAGACAATCACAATGTTGTCACAAAAGGGAAAACAAATGATTACAAAAGGTATGATATACTGGCCAAAGTAGTACAATTAGCAATAACAATATCATTAAGCACAGCCTAGAAATGGAAACTGTGGTAACTATTAATTTGGTACCTTTAACCATTTGAGCAAGATCTACAGTTATATAACATCCTACATAAATATGGAACTTGTATGCTGTGAGATTCCCCTCAGTAGAGTGATTTTACCCTGTGTGGGGGAAATTTAAGATGGATAGAGGAAAAACAGAGAGATGAATGAAGAGAAATACAATAAAGCAAGACAGAAGGACCAAGGAATGGTCACCCAAGCTTTGGGAAACTGGAAGACAGGAGACAAAGAATGAAGGAGGAAGCAAAGTAATATTGTAGTGAACCAGAAAGACTACAGACAATGTTTACTGACATGAAAATATAAAAAAATCATGAAATAAATTCAATAAAGAGAAAAAAGATGAAAATAGTACAAGTAAAAACCTAAACTGTAAAAAAGACAAAAAATGAAAACCAAACAAACAACAAAAATAAAATTCCTCTGGTGCCCTCGTTTCTGTGATAGTGTCCAAGTCAGATCCCAAATCTGTGCTGGGTAGTCCCACCAAGTCTCCAGTAGGATTAATGCTAGATGTGGGACTGATCATGGCTTCCAGATGCTGGCACTGGGGCCAGAGTCTTCATCCAGCAGCTTTCTGTATGTCTTTCCTTGGTCCCTGCCATGGCTCCTTACCCTGTGTGTCCTTGTGCCACTCTCCCAGTTGCTATGGCACCGTCAGAGATAGCCCAAGGCTTCTCCTAGTCTTATATAGTTCCTCCCAACCCTTGCACAACCTCCTCTGTTGCATATTTCTGGTGCATCACTGTCGTCTTGCATCACTGGTGGCAAGGCAGAGGGAATACTGTTGGCCAACTCATGCATTGAGGTGAGTCTTGACTTCCCACATGTTGCCCCACTATGACTTAAGGCTGTTTAAGTTCTGCATCCCTCTCACACTGCTGGGAGCAGGGCAGGAGGGGTGGTGGTGTTTACTCATTACCTTCACCACCACAGCTTCAGTCTAACCTTGTTGCTAGAGGTTAGAGGTTTCAGTCAGCTGCTATGGTGCTGGACAAAAAAAAGAAAACAAAAACTGGCAGCCCATAGGGGAAGGAGCAGCTTCCTGGTCACTCACTCCTTTGCTGGTGAAATTTGCTGCCAGGCTGCAATATGCTGTGTTTGGAGGAAGGCAAAAGAGGTAAGGGGCCTTATACCACAAATTTATCTTGTGTGGATTGAATTTATCACACTATAATAGTCCATCAGCTTTTTGGGAACTTCCCAGAATGGTGGTTCCTTCTCTTATACTTTTGTTTGATCTCCAAGTCTCTGATTTCAAATTGATTTTGACATCAGGATATATGTCCCTCCCTTTCTTCCATTTACCTATGTTTTTAGATGATTATCTCAGAGTTACTGCAATGTGATTCCTCCTCTACTCAGCCATGTTGAATCCTCGCCACTTAAGCTCTTTGAGGAAGATACCTAGCAAAGGAAAGGCGGGGTCATATGGAATTTCTAATTTGAAATCTGCCTGACTTATTCTTTCTTTTTTTTGTCTTTTTGAGACAGGGTCTCGCTGTGCAGTTCAGGTTGGCCTTGAGCTCACTTTGTAGCCCAGGCTGGTCTCGAACTCACAACAATCCTCTTGCCTCAGCCTCTTGAGTGCTGGGATTATAGACATGTACCACCACATTCTGTCTGATTTATTCTTGATGTTGTTAATTGATACCTTCATTTTTGATTCAATCAGTATGCTAAGAGATTTACAAATTTTAATGATCTCAGAGAAGCAGCTTTTGGTTTTAGTAATTTATTTTCTGTACTGTTCTTTTGTTTCCTATCTTGTTGATTCCCATACTGGCCTTGATGTCCTTTCTTCTGCTTACCTTGGATTTATAAGTTTTTCAGGTAGAAGGTAAGATCATTGTTTTGAGAATACTTTTCTAATGTAGACATTTACTGCTCTAAATTTATCCAATTGCTGCTCTTACACCGTGCTAAAAAATTTGATAAGGTGTGCTTTCATTTTCATTCAGTTCCAGAGGCCCTTTAATCTCCCCTTTGATTTTTTTTTTTTTTTACTCATTTAGCTGTGTTACTCAGTCACCAAATATTTGAGGATTTTTCCAGAGACATTTCTATTACTGATTTAAGTAAATCCATTATGGTCAGAGAAAAACTTTATATAAGTTGAATCCTCTTAAATGTACTGGGATTTGTTATTATTGATCAGTATATTGTTTATAATGATAAATATATGGGTGCATTCTATTGTTTGGGTAGAATATGTACATATACATACTATGTTCAATTGCTTGATGTGACTATGTACTGCTAAAATCTAGTATATCTTTATTTTTTTTAAAAAATGTATATATTCTACCAATCATTAAGAGAAAGGTATTGCGATCTCTGATTATAATTGTGGGTTTGTCTCTTTCTTCTTGGAGTCTATTAGTTTTTGTCTCATATATATTAAAAACTCTGTATTTAGGTGTATATGTTAGAGTTTTCCAGAAAAACAAAACCAATGGATGTGTGTATTTTTATTTTATAAAACTGACTAATGCAGCTGTGGTGGCATGGGAAGTCTGAAATCTGATGGGGAGGTGGCAGGATGGAGATCAGGAGAGCTGCAGGACATATCACAGGCAGCCTGCTGGGGAACAGGAAGTGGTCTGGCTGCCAATGAAGTCTGAAGGAGTTTGCTGACAGACTTTCTTCTCTTTAGGGAACAGTCAGTCTTTTATTCCATTCTAACATCTGTGTGAATTTGAAGGTATTGATGTTTTTCATTTTTAAACAGACTTCCTACTTCTTTGCAGATTGGTTATCTTCTATTGAATGTGAGATCTTGTGAAATTCACCTACTGAGAACTGGATAATTTTTGTACTGTTAAGCTCTGATCTAGGAAGAAGTTATTTTGAAACAACTTTCTTCCAGTCCCTTTGTGCTTTTAATTTTGTAAGCTGGTCTGAAGCAGCCCTTAGGTAGGGCTAATTATCCCCACTACTGGGAAAAACCCTCCTATGTATTCTCCCTCCTGCCCTATGAATAGTGAGGTTTTTACTTTGATGACTGAGAAGAGGCACTGTCTCTGGTGTGAGTACTTGGTGCCTTTAATTCTTTCACAAGTCTCTCAGGTCCATCTTCTCAAGTTGGGTATTCTGCCAAGCTCAGCTTAGGTACCCACCCTGCGCTGCAGCCTGTGAGTGTGTTAAAGCAGTAACAGAGGGCAGTCTTTGGCTCACCTCATCTGTTTCCCATCTCTCAGGCTGATGGTCTTTTCCTGCCTGATGTCAGCGTCTTGAAACCATTGCTTCATATATTTTGTCCATTTTTTTTTTCATTTCAAGTAAGAGGAACTAAGTCCATTGTCTGCTCTTCCATTTTAGTCAGAAGCAGAAATCTTAAAACAGTTTAAAAACATTAATTTATCTATAAATTTCCCAAAGATTTGCTTATCCTACAGGTAAAACTTCTCTCCATGTACCAGTCTACTTCAGAATACTTTTGGAAATCAGTTCCTTATAGTTGTGCAGCATGTTATAGCTCAAAACATGAGATAACATTGTTTTCTTTTGGGTAAAAAAGATTTATGTGATAATGCTAATAAGAGATTTATCTTCACCAGGCATGGTGGCACATGCATGTAATCCCCCCAGCACTTAGGAGGCTGAGGCAAGAGGACTGCCATAAGTTCAAGGCCAGCCTGACCTACATAGCAAGTTCCTGCCTTAAACAAAACAAAACAAAACAAAAAAACAAAATTCATGTGAAAATGGTGCTAGCAGAAAATCCATGGAAAAGTTTTTAGGGATAATGTTTCTGAATAGACCCAAATCCAAATCCTTATGTGGAACCAAGAACCACACAGAAGATTTTCAGTGTTTTGTTTGGAACGTACTCACCGTGATGGGCACTGGTCCTGCTCATCTCCCCGAGGCTGACATCACACTGGACTGAGCTGGCCCTCTGGAGGTGGCCCTTCCTGACAGTGCAGAGAAAGAAACACACAGATGGGAAAGGAGGCACTGGAAAGCATGGCAGAAGCACTCATAATAACAGTGGTACCTTGGTTCACAAGCATGTCTGTTTGCAAATTATTCAGGTCACAAACGAAAGCTTTTTTTTTTTTTCCAATACCGGGAATCGAACTCACGACCTCACACTTGCCAGGCTGGCGCTGTGCCGCTGAGTTAAATCCCCAGCCCCAACAAACGAAAGCATTTAACGAAATTTTGCTTTTGTTTGCAAACTCTTACATCAGGTGCCAAACACAGCTGTAGCCATCTTTGCCACACAAACACAAACATCTTTTAGAAAATTGTGAAACAAATTAAGTTTTTGAACTTACCACTGTTACCTGGAGGTTCATTTTACTTCCTCAGCTACCTGAAACTGTCCGGGTTGCCCTGAAACAGTGCCACCAATGCACCAGGAAAGGGAATCATGTGAGAGGACCCATAGACGTTTCCTTTTAAGATGGCCTAGCTGCTGTATCTTAGGGGAATAGGAAGCTGTTTCTGTGCTCTTTTAAAGAGGTGAGTTTTCACTGTTAGTTGGACCCTTCAGTAACATGGGGTGGCTGTTGTGAACTATTTTATTAATAGAAATTTAAAAAACATTTTAGATCTTTTTAAGGTTACAGTTCATCAGATTTTTTTGTTATCTCACCAATTAATATGAGTATGATTCATGGTGATCATGGCAGAGTCTTTGAAAACTACTGTAATTATTAAATAAAATTTTAGAATATAAACTTGCTTCAGTTTTTGCAATATGCCAATACTCAGGAGTACGAACTTACATTAATGAAAGTAAATTCAAAACTGTGTTTACCATAGCAAAATGGAATCTTTTCTGAATACACCCAGCTTCTGCTCCTGAAAGAATCTTGATTCTAGCCCAGATCTTATCATTACTTGGGTATCAGTTTGGACCTCACTCAGAGTTAACAGTAATTATTTATGTCATTCATGAGACCCTTAGCTTAAAGCAATTTCAACCATTAATGAACCTGGAAACTGTTTTAGTAAACGATGAATTGTTTTCATTCCTGAAAGTACTATTTCCCACATACAACAGCATTTCTTGTGATCAGTATATAAAAGATTTTATAACTAGATTCCACAAGTAAGAGTTACTCATTTTTCAAATTAATTTTGCTCTTGGCATTAGACACAGGTCTCTGATCACATCATCATATAGAATACCTCTGCTTCTGTTGTCATTCAAAAATGGAAAATACATAATTGCAAGCACATTACAATCCTATCTGAAAGTTACTCAATAATGTCATTTTTGTAACAATGTTAAAGCTGCTATTTTTCTTACTGATTATATCTATTGTCCAAATGGTCTAAAATGAAAGTGTCAACTTGGCCAGGCCATGGTACCCAGATGTTTATTTAATGTAGACGTTTCTATGTAGGTGTTTTATGGATGAGATTAACATCTATACCTAGATTTTGAGCAGAACAGATGCCTTCCATGATGTGGGTGCTCTCATACAACTGCTTGTAGCTTTAGTAGGTAGAGGTGGGAAGTTTGGGGAAGCTCTGTTTTTAGGGATTTCTGCATTTAATCTACTTCTTGAGTATACTACCATGCAGTTACACAAAATGTGTGTGTGTGTGTGTGTGTGTGTGTGTGTGTGTGTGTGGGTTGACAGGAATAGAACCCAGAGCCTCACCAATGCTAGGCAAAGAAGGACTCCACCACTACACTAAGCCACAGTCCAGCTTGACTTTCATCTTTTAAATGTCTGTATGATCTGAGTTATAGAACCTTTTTATATTCCTAATATTAGCCATTTGGGCCTCTGCTCTTTTTAAATTAAAGATAGCACTTTGTTGATTTTGTCAATATGTCAAAGAAGCAAACTTCGGCTTTACTGTCTCTATTATACACATTGTATGTGTATTTTAATTAATATCTGCTCTATATTGTTTATTTCTGTTTTCCTGAGATTTAGTTTGCTATTCTTTTTATAACCTAGTACAAAGAATATTAAGCTTATTTATTTTCAGGCTGTCTTTTTTAATAAAAATATTTGGATAATAAATCTCCCTGCTGGCATCTCACAGATTTGCAAGATAGTATTACAGTATTCTCATTATAGTTAGGTAAAAATATTTCCTAAACTGCATTACAAGTTATTTGACCCATGAATTATACAAAAGTATGCTTAAAACCTTCTACAATTATCTTTTGTCACTGATTTTCCAATGCAGTCATTCATGCTCAGGACGTACAGTACAGTATAACATAGTCTATACAGTACAACATCAAGCTTTATTTTTTTTCACAGTACAAGGGGTTGAACTTAGGGCCTCAGTGTGCTAGACAAGTGCACCCTGAACTACCTCCCAAGTTCATTTTGTGTGTTTATTTTGAGACAAGGTCTCAGTAAGTTGCCCGGGCTGGGCTTGACCTTGCAATCTTGCCCCTCTGCCTCTTGAGTAGCAGGGAATACCTTCAGGCACCATCACAACTGGCTGAATGTCAGACTTCTGAAATGTGTGAAAACTTCTTCTGAAATGTGTGAAAACTACACACATATCAGTACAGAATAATTCCCTAAGTATTGTTTATGAGCTTGTAAGAATTTTAATGGTTGGGTATTGTGTTGTAGATTAAGTCTAATAGATCAACCTTGTTAAAATCTTATGCTGATTTTTATCTCCCTGTACATTTCTGAGAGTCAGACATAAAAATTTAACTATTGTGGTAGCTTTGTCTATTTCTCTTTTATACTTATATTTTTCTTTTTTATTTTCTTTCTTTTTTTTTTTTTTTTTTTTTTTTTGGTACGGGGTATTGAATCTAGGGCCTTCATGCTGAGCTGCATCCCTAGTCCCTTTCATTTTTACTTTTGGAATGGGGTCTTGCTAAGTCACTTACTCAGGTTAGTTTGAAGTTGCAGTCATCCTGCTTTAGTGTTACAGGTGTGTACCACCATGCTGGTTTAAATTTCAATTTTTCTTATTTATATTTTTTGAGACTAATTTTATTTTGAGGTCACAGAAATCTTCTGTATTGGTGGCTGTGGTGTGAGAGTAGATAAATGCAATTTATTTTTCCTGCACAGTGCCCTTCTAATCAGACGAACTCTCTCTGTCTACCACATGAGGACATGAGCAAGAAGATAGCAGCTTGAAACCAGAAACAGGGCCTCCATCAAACCTGACCATGCTGGCACCCTGGTCTCACTCAGCTTCTAGAACTGTGAGAAGTAAAGTTCTGTTACTCAGGCCAATCAGCTACGGAATTTTGTATAAAAATTCAAACTAGGACAACTAAATGCATGTATTTTTGAATTGTTAAATATTCCTGGTGACGATGGAGCATTGTTTGCTTGGGGGCTGTGTATGACTGTAGCTATGTCAGTAATCAGCTGAAAGTTCAATGAGCTGGATGCCTATGATGGTTCATTGACATGGCTGGCATGTGTCACAATTCTATGAGGGAGCATCTTGAGTAGGAGTGGCAAGAGATGGAAGTCATTAGGCCACTTAAAGGCTGTGTCCTTAGTTGGAACAGCACCATTTCCACAGTATTCTATGGCCAAAGCAATCCTACTGCCTTCCCAGAGTTAGAGAAAAATCCTCAGGGTAGATACATGGCAAGATCACACTGCAGTAGAGCTCTAAAGGACAAGAGAGACTGAATGGCCACCTTTAAGAAACACAGTCCCATACAATGGGCTTGTATGTGTAGTTTTCTATCTAAAGAATTCAGATGTTAAGTTATGAGACATAAAACCTTCTAGATTTTTCATATGATGCACTTTGAAATAAACTGTATAACACCATATACTTAAGAACAAGCTCCCTCCAAATTTTTCCTCGATGTAAAGTAGTTCAGAAATATGAATTTTATGAAATACTGTTTTACCTGCATGTTTTCTTTCTGAGAATATAAAATTATCATGCTAACTTGCATCTTTTTCATGATTACCTTACTTTCGTAAGTACTAGAGAGCATACAAGGTGCATTTTATAAATACCAGTTAAAGCTATGATACCAGCGAGCTAAACTTAATTCCATATTAGCCTGTTTTTGCAAAATTTTTAAAAATTATGAAGATCAATACTAATGAATGAAAGTCACCTTCAGTGGATAGTGTCATTTCATTAAGGTAATTTTTCCTTTTGTCTCCTGAGTTACCAGTCTCTTCATATTAACTGACTGCTTATTTATCTGTCCCTACAAGTAGACTTAAGTCTCCTCTAAAGTTAGGGAGCATGTCTTCCTTGTTCACTATTATATTCATTGTGGCAAACACAATGCCTAACACCTAGCAGGCCCTGAATAAAGAGGAGACCCTAGACAGCAATAATGTTTTCAATTTTTATTTATAGTAATTACATAAGTTATTTCTTTTTCACATTCAAGATTTACTTAAAATAGACCTTGGCCAAATATTTGGGGGGCGGGGTTCATGATGACTATAGTGAAAGTGGGTCTACCTTAGTAGTTCAGAGAAGTCAAGCAAAATAATAGTTATAGTAACAAAGAACAAATTTGATACATTAAGACACTTTAAAAAATGACTTCTTACCTACATAAAATAAACTATATTCAAGAGATAACCCTGAACATAAAACTGGAAAAACATTTAGATGTAAAAAAGCAGATTAATTGTTTAGCAGAATCACTACTTTATGTACAGCATTACTTTTTTCTTTTGAAGAGTATGTTTCTATGTTGGTTACCTGCAAAGGAAATAGAGAGCCACGATGGTGAGGGTGACCAGAACAGCCAATGCCACAAAAGCTGCAAACAGATTACTTTTGGATTGGATGCTGGAGCTTGGGAGAAAAACCTCTTCACAACGTGCTCCTGTGTAATTTTCAATGCACCTATAGGAGAAATTTCAGATAAAGAATGCATCTATGTTCTGTCAATTAAAGTGCATAGTAAGAGATTTCCAGTTGGCATGAAGGAAGAAGACTAACTTTCAGAGTGCTGAATGGAGAATAGATATGCTGTTCTAACATATGCACAGAGCTAGTTATAAAAAAACATGTAGCATTCATTTATGAAGTCTAATGCTTATTGTCTTCTTAAATTTTCTCATGGCTTGGGAACACCAGAGAAATTATAAGGTAATCCATCTTCTAGACTTTTTTTCTTTTCTGAGACAAGGTCTTGATATGCTTTCCAGGCTAGCCTTGAACTACTGGGCTCAAGCACTCTTTCTGTCTCAGCCTCCCAAGTAGCTGGTAGTACAGGCACCATCACAACTACACCTAGCTTACCTTCTAGGTTTTCAATGATGTAATTCATCTAAAATTTATTTTGTTGTATTTGGGTTTAGATGAGTTTTTCCTCAAAATTAGTACGTGGTTATTACAACTCTACCATTAGATAATTCTTTACCCACTGGTTCAACATTGGCTTCTTGAACATATGTTAAATTTATGTAACAGCATTTATTTCTAATCTTTAATAATCTACACGTTTAATTCTGGGGCTTTACCATACTGCTTCAACACTGTGACTCTGTAGTATGTTTGACTGGTACTTCTCTTTCTAGAAAAAAATACATATATATACGTATATATATATATAAAATTTTTTTTTTGGTACCAGGAATTGAACCCATGACCTTGCACTTGCCAGGCAGGCACTGTGCCACTGAGCTATCTCCCTGGCCCCCTAGAATGTGTTTTATATTTTCATTCACAAACAAAAAATAATTATAAGCCAATTATTTTTGGCTCTCTAGAATTCTATAACAAGTCTAGGAGTGTAGCTTAGTGGTAGAGTATTTACCTAGCACCCAAAAATTTCTGGGTTCAATTTTCCAGCACCATAGAAACAAGAAAAAAATTTTGAGAACCTCTCACTGTATGACACAGAACTCTTTTAGTATTACCAGTCAGGTCCTTTTTCCCTATTAACATGTTCAAAGGATTACAAAATACAAAGATTGATATAAATAAACAAGAATGACACTGTTTGGCACTAGATAATTTCTATTCTGTAGTTATGTTAAAAAAATAATATTTTAACATAAATTTATGTTTATTTATAAAACATTCTAGGAAATTACAGAACAAACTTGTAAAAGTTACCCTCAGCAGCAATTCTTTGTAAATAAAAGTGTATGTGCATACATGTATAAACACATACTTTAAGCTGGTTTTAATGAATACAGAGGTTGATTCTACTAAACTTTCCTCCTCTCTTCTTTCCCAATTTGGTACTTAGAACTTTTATCTCCATTTCTCTTATCTTAGACTAATAAGTATATAGACTTAGAAAGCTACATGTGAACACATTACTACCTTTGACAAGAATGTTATAGACTGATTGTCTACATATCAATAAGAGAAAAGAACACCAAGATAGAGCACATGGAATCATTTTTAGTTAAATAAGCACATTAAAGGAGTTTTATAAACCTCAAACTACACCCCATATGAGGCAAGTAGCATTAGGGTGGTAGCTTCCACTGAGGGTATCAGTTTGGCCAGAGCAGCAGTCTATATTTTCCTCAGACTTCCTTAAACTAAGGACAGGATAAGGGTGGCAAACTAAAAATATTCTGGGATAAATCACAACTGTCTAAAATTTAAACATAAAATACCATTTTCCCTATAAATCTGTTAAGCAAATATGAAGAGAAGAAATCACATAAAAATAGTTTTTCTTCTCCTACACCTCCCACCTCCCCAAAGGGGACACACACACACACCCCTGGAAGTCAACACAGTCATGGTTGCAGTCACCTACACAAGTAGATAAAGGGAAACTTTTCATATCCTAATAAAGGGTCTAAACTTAGTTTTTAAAATTATCTCTAGAGTAACCAAGAAGTAAAACCTCTACCACGATTTAATTATTTTTGTTTGTAGGTAATTCTGTAACACTTATGCCTTAATTTTTAAAAGTTTTAGCCACTGAAAATTCTGTCACAGTTCTAAAATAATCAAGTTTTGAAATAATGTTTAAATTAGGGTTCAGTTTCTACTCTAGGAAAAAAAAAAAAAAACTAGAACCCATAATAAACAAACCCTGAAACTACAGAAAACAATTCTTTCCAACAAGATGTCTACTTAAAAAGCTAAAAACAGTGCCTGTGCACATTGGGCAGGCTATCATAGAGCCACTATACATGCATCCCCTGAGCAGTGGCCACACTTGCTCTACTCTGCTCTCCACTTCTGGCTCTGCCCTGTCACCTCCAGCCGCCTAATATTTCCACTGCCCAAAGCCACCCCTGATAAAACCTGCTGACTGACTGGTGTGACATGGATGCGTGGAGGTGTCCTGGGCCTTAAGGAGGAGAAAGACTTGATCTCAAAGCTGAGTACTGGCTCCTCAGTCCCAAAGCCAGACCAGGGCTGCACCAGAATGCTGCAGATCTTGCATCTGAGTGAGCAGGACCATGCACAGATGGCAGCAGCAATCCAGTATAAATAATGAGGACTCCTCCCATCGCTACCTCTGCCTTCTACTCCTTGCCCACCTAACAAGGAGCATGGCCAGAACTGGAACCTGAAGCAGTGTCTACAGCTCCCACATGGTGCCAACACAAGGATTCAACTGAGGCTGAAGTCTGGGGATCTCATCAGTGCCCTGCAGAAGTGCTAGGGTAAGAACTCTGACTAGACAGGTGGAGGTGAGCCAGACAAGCATGGTGCCTCAGGAGAAGCACCTTTCTCTTGGTGGGAGAAGGCTGAAGTGAGAGGAGCACTAGAAGGCTCAACTTGCTGGAAATTTCTTAGATGTTTTTATTGTTGTCAAAACTGGGCCTCTTTGGGGACTTGGAAGAGGGAAGTCTGGTTTTAAGGTGGCCAGGACATGCAAGAAGTAGAGAGCTCCTTTTTATCCACTATTATAGTGAAGCCAGGAGTTGCTCAGCCAGGCTATTCCTCCTCAGTGTGCACCTAACAATCTTGAAATAAAATCCTCCTGTTTCCCTGTTGGCCTCTGTGATCTCTTGAATTTGCAACACTTCTGGTGACCATAAAGGGACTGGAGACAACAGATTTGCTGTCTCCTTTGCCTGTGGGACCAGGATGGCCCTGAGCTGCAGGAGTTCTGAGAACTCTGGTGCCACGGAGAGAGACTTCAGCTTGGAGATGGAATCAGCCCTCCCACAGCTTGGAATCTCTCCTCTGCCAGTGCAACAGAACCTGTGGGGATGCAGGATGATTCTGGAATAGCAAGCTTTAGGACTTTTTCTGCAGAAAGGTTTTGGGGCCTCAGGACTAAGACCCATTCCATTAAGACAGAAGAGGAGACTGATCACTCCCCTCGGTATACAGAGTAGGAAGACTCAGGGGGAGTCAGATGAAACCTATACCTCAAGTCAGAGAAGCAGGGTGACCCTCAGTGAAAGTAGCTCACAGGAGAGGCAGGGGTGGCCTGCAACAAGAGTGGCTCACAGGAAAGGCAGGAGGGCCCACAGCGAGTTTGGACAAAACCTAACCCCAAGTTGAAGGGAAAAAAAAAAACAAGAACAGGGAGGGCAGCCACAGTGTGTCAAGTGCTATGGAGAAGGTAGGGGAGAAAGCATGAGGAAAACTTGAGCTTTAGTGCGCTGGGATATGTAGATGAGGAGGCACCACAAGCAGGCTATGGGGGAAAAAATAACACCTCATAAAATGGGGTGATAGCAGCAACCTGCCTAGGCAGAGACTGGGACTGAAAGACTTCCTAGGCAGCCTGCTGATCTGGTAACTGGGCTAGGATGAAAGCACAGGCCCAGGAAACCTAGGACCACCTACAACTGCCAAGATTGGAAAAAAAAAAATAATTAAAAGGTGTTTAAAAAGATGCTTACAGGGCCAGGGATATAGTGCTGTGGCACAGCACCTGCTTAGCAAGTGCAAAATCCTGGATTCAATTCCTGGTACAAAAAAAAAAAAAAGAAAATTTTTTAGAATCTTCCAAAGGACCCCCTCCCAAACAAAGAAACAGACAAACAAAAAAAAACACCAAAAACTAAGGGGACCCAGTCTCTTTTTTTCCCTTGAGGGATGTTTCCCTGGACAAAGACAAAATTGAACTGCAAATCTTAGATAACTGATAAATTCACTTTTGGCTTCCAATTTAAGTTGGTCTTGTTGTTTAATATATTTAAAACATTTCTTATGCAGTATAAGTTCTTAAATTACAATTACAGGATTAACTTGCTCTTTTCTTTGCTCTCTGCTGGTTTAAGATAAGAACACTGATTCAAGGTTACTTAGGGGTCTGTTGGCAGCCAGTCACATTTAAAATGTAACAACCAGAGACCAAAGGAAAAAAAAAATAGGGGGACTTTAAAATCTAAGCAGCTGTAGCCAAGTTTGTTATGAAAAGTTTATACTAAGTGAGATGAAGAAGAATACATAAAGAAGGCTGTAAGTGTAAGAGTTAAACATTTGATATGAAAGGATTTTGTATGATAAAAGTTTTGTCCCATTAGAAAGATAAAGAGATAATGACAAAACTGGAAAGCTCATATATGTAGGAAAAATCTTGTGGAGTAGTTTATAAAAAAAATATGTATGTTTGTTTGTTGGTTTGGTGGAGCCCAGGCTGTTCCTTCTAAAAGCTTTATGTTGCTCAAAATGTCAAGGCGGGGGTATGGCCCTAACTCTATCAACCAGTCCTTCCCAGGTCTCAGCTCTCTCTACTTGACTTGATCGTTAACACCCCAAAAATATAACCATTTATTGGTTTTGAGTAAACATTTTATTATTACATGGATGAGATATACTTATATGGGGTAAGAAGTCTATGTGTGGTCATTAACACTATTTAAAACTCTTTATAGGTCCAGAGATATATCTCAGTAGAGCAGCACTGGCCTGGCAAGTGCAAGGTCCTGAGTTTGATTCTTGGTATGCACACACATATACAA